GATTATGATAAAATACCCATCAACTTATAAGCTTTTTTACATATTTATTTATATTTCCTATATAAAAACTTTATAAAACATACAAAAATCGGTTCCGGTCCATTAAACCCGGTTCCGGTTTTTTTACATATCCGGTTCCAAAAACCAGTTCCGGTTTTTTTACCCGGAATACCCGGACCCGTTGGACCCGTACCCGAAATACCCGGAACCCGGATAAGACTAGATTTGGAACCCAATACCCGGACCGTTTAAATATTTTCCGGTTATACCGGTTCCGATTCCGGTTCCGGTCCGGTTTTTCGGTTTTATAACTCATCCCTACCTAAAGGTAGCGACTATTATGACATGAGTTTAAAATGTATATATTTTATCGTATAGTTAGTATTATTATAAGGTTTTATAGACAAAAAATTAGTGTGAGCATTTTAATCCAACATTAATAAAAAGGATATAGTTATTTTTAATAACATGTAGTTATCAACATTTTCATTACATTATTGTATTTTGCGCATTTGAAACTCCCATGACTTTTCAATTTCTTTACAATAATATTATAAATAAGTTAAATAATATTTTATAAACAAGAAATGGTGTTTTATTACAATGTATTTATCCCACATCGATGGTGAGAGTAAACAAGAGAACGTTTCCTCTTCTATAAATAGGAAAAGTTATGAAATGTTTCAGAGGGACCAAACCATGACAACTTCTACATGCCTACCTTTGTAGGATTTTGAGGGTATTATTTGGTGAGATTGTCTATATTGGCAAGTGTCCAGTTAAGTTTTAGAATTCCAAAAATGGTTTTGAACCGGATTTTTTCAGGTTCAAATCGTGTTTCAGAAGAAAAAAAACTATGTAGTTGGGTATATTGAGTTGAATCGGAGCTGGATCAATTTGGACCGATAAATGAACCATTTTCTTTTCACCACATACATTTGAAACTCCCATTATTTTTCAAATTATTTCTAATAATATTGTAAATAAGTTACATAATGGTATATAAATATAAAAAAAACATCTACCTAAACCTAAAATTATAGCTGTTTGAAAAATCACTTTGATTCAAAAGCACGAAATGTATACAAATCAGTTTTCTCTAATTTTTTTTTCTGTTGTTGTTTGGTATATTGAGTTGAATCGGTCTAACTTTGATCAATTTGGATCGATAAATGAAGTATTTTCCTTTCGCAACATACATTTGAAACTCCCATGATTTTTCAAATTGTTTCCAATGATATTAATCATATTATAAATAAGTTACATAATTTTATATAAATATAAAAAAAACATCTACCTAAACATAAAATTATAACTGTTTAAAAAATCGATTTGATCAAAAGCACGAAATATATACTCAGATTATATTTTATAAATGAATTCTTTTTATAATGAACTTTTGAATAATGAAAATACATATAAACAAACTTTCTATATTAAGTATATAGCTGAATTTATGATTTTAGAATTTAACAAAAAGTTATTCAATAAAAAACTTACTTTTTTGGATAGGAACTTACGAAATTATAGAAAAATGAAACTATTGAACAATAAAGAAAGGGTAAACAAGAGAAAGAGTGTTTTAATAAATAAGTTAAATAATGTTTTATAAACAAGAAAGCATGTTTTATTACAATGTCTTCATCTCACATCGATGGTGAGAGTAAACAATTGAACGTTTCCTCTTCTATAAATATGAACGGTTGTGAAATGTTTCAAAGGGACCAAACCATGAGAACTTCCTTATGCCTACCTTTTTAAGATGTTGAGGATATTCTTTGCTAAGATTGTCTTTATTGGCAACCGTCCAGTTAAGTTTTAGAATTTTGAAAATGGTTTTGAACATGATTTTTTCAAGTTCAAACTGAGTTTCAGTTGAAAAACTGTTATGTTGTTGGTTATATTTAGTTGAATCGGTTCGAGTTTGATCAATTTGGACCGATAAATGAAGCATTCCTTTCAGCACATACATTTGAAACTCTCATGATTTTTCAAATTGTTTCTAATAATATTATAAATAAGTTACCTGAACATAAAATTATAATTGTTTGAAAAATGAATTTGATTAAAAAACATGAAATATATACCAACCGGGTTTCAGTAGAAAAAACGTTATGTAGTTTGGTATATTGAGATGAATCAGTCCGAGTTTGATCAATTTGGACCGATAAAGGAAGCATTTTCCTTTCACCACATACATTTGAAACTCTCATGATTATTCAAATTGTTTCTAATAATATTATAAATAAGTTACATAATGTTATATAAATATAAAAAAAACTACCTAAATATAAAATTATAATTGTTTGAAAAATCACTTTGATTCAAAAGCACGAAATATATACTCGATTATATTTTATAAATGAATTCATTTTATAATGACCTTTTGAATCATGAAAATACATATAAACGAACTTTCTATATTAAGTACCTAACTGAATTTATGATTTTAGGATGTAACAAAAAGTTATTTAATAAAAATTTACTTTTTTGGATAGCAACTTACGAGATTACCGAAAGATGAAACTATTGAACAAAATAATTTTCTGGATAACGTTGTATTTTTATTATTTAATAGTTTATTTAACAAAATAAAATTATTTGCAAATATAGAAAAGAGTTTAACCAAAATGTCTTCATCCCACATCGATGGTGAGATTAAACAAGAGAATGTCTCCTCCTCTATAAATAGGAAATGTTGTGAAATATTTCAAATGGACTAAGCCATGAGATCTTCATTGCATCTACCTTTGTAGGAGGTTGATGGTATTCTTTTGTGAGATTGTCTTTGTTGACAAGTGAGCAATTAAGTTTAGAATTTCGAAAATGATTTTGGACTGAATTTTTTAAATTTGGATAGAGTTTGATTAATATCCAAGTATCTTTTGGATGAGTTAGGAAAACTCGCTTCCAATGGAAGCCGAGTTTAAGTAACATGCTGAGTATTTAGTTGTGTTAGCCATGTTTTACAACCCTATGTGTAATACAATCTTAAGTTCTAACCTTATAAAAGACGTCAATATTATCATATGTTCTACATAATTATAGTAATATTTATGATACAAAAAAATAATTTACTATTTAAGATAAAAAGATATATCTATTATCATATGTTGTACATAATGATAATATTTAAGATAGATAAAAGATGTATCCATTATCGTATTTTCTACATAATGATAATATTTAATATAAACGTTTTAATTTAATATTAAATTATTATTTAATAGATAATAATAATGATTTATTTATTTTTAATTTATTTTTTTCTATTTTAATCATATAACTTTGTATATGCCCAGTAACTTCAAGTTCCAACCTTATCTCTTATGTTATAGTTTATTTCTTATATTTTTTATGAAGTTATTATTTAATTGTTAATAACAATGATTTAGTTATTTTTAATATAAAATAAGAAAACTTATAAGATATATATACTTAACTTTTATATTATTTGAAAATCTTAATAGGTAATAAAAAAAAGTTAATTCCTTCACCTAAATAAGATAATTAACAAAAAATAACAGAAAATAATTAAAAAAAAACAATTATTTATATGCTATCATGATATTTATTGATTTTGTTTTACGAAAATGGTTAATTTGGAAACAGTCTTACAACGTTAACACTTCAAAAATATAAAAATTGAATGAGGTAATGGAGAGCTTGATGGGGCCTTTACCTTGACATTTCTCTGCATACCTTTCTTCTGGGTTCGGACCCAGTCAATACTCAATAGAGATTACTTTCTTTATATCACCCATCTGTTTATATCCCCTTCCTATCTCCTCCCACCTCCTTCCTCCGCCACAACAAACCATGTCCATACTCACCGGAAACCTCTTCTTCTTCTTCTCTTTTATTTTCATATACTTTATCACCACCATCACCTTAGCTCAACCCCCCGATTTCCTGTCCTATTTCTGCGATAGCGATATGAACTACACGGCAAACAGTGCATATCAAAGAAATCTCGACACCACACTCGCCGTCCTCCCCACCACCAACTCCGGCTTCGGTTTCTTCAACCGTTCCACTGGAGAAGGCATCAACAGAGTCAACTCAGTCGCCCTGTGTCGAGGCGATGTCAATCCAGATTCGTGTCTCAGTTGTGTGAATGACTCCATTGTTAAGTTGCGAGAAATCTGTCCTAACCAAAAGGAAGGAATAGGATACTACGACTACTGTATGTTGAAGTACTCCAACGCTACAATATTGAGAAACACTGCGATAAGGTTTTATGTGTATCTGGCTAACCCTAATAACGCTTCAAATATTAATCAGTTCAATAACGCTCTTAGTCCATTGATGGAGAACTTAACAGTCAGGGCGGCTTCCGGCGGTCCGGCACTGAAGTTTGCCAGCGGAAACACCTCCGGCCCGGATTTCACAAGAATCTATGCGCTTGTGCAGTGTACTCCAGATTTATCGGAACTGCAGTGTAGTAATTGTTTGTCGGATGCCATTAGTCGGATCGGGGTTTGGTTTAATGGGAAAGTAGGAGGGAGAATTTTACTACCGATGTGTACTTTCAGGTATGAGATATATAGGTTTTTTAATGAGAGTTCTCTAGTCGTCGGCCCACCACCATCTTCGCCACCACCACCACCGATTTTGTCGCCATCGCGGCCCATTCCACCGCCACCAGGTATGAATAAATTTCAAACGCTATTAGTTGACCTTGACCTAACAAAAGCTAACAATTGCGTGGAACACGCACTTATGTAGTCACGTCCTTATCTAAGTTATATATTATATACTTGAAAATATGAAAATGGGGTATACACAAGCTTTAAAAATTAAAATATCCATTAAGAATTTGTGATGTACGCTAAAACATTACATATAATACAATTTTTAATACCTAATTGTAATTTACCATACAGATGTCATGATCACACAATATTATCATATGACATGTTTATATTTATTTACTTAGGTTATACATTTTTAATATATAAAATCAAGTCATTGTCCTTTTAAAAAAAGGTGACATGTTAACTTGTGGACCAATTTAACATATAAGTTTTGTTGACACGTTGTCCAGATGAAATTTATATGGTAAACGATTACATGACATCTAATTGTCCTGTTCATGACTTCATTCATGAATGATCGAACACCCCTTTTCTTGACTTGATTTCAAATGCAATTAAAGTTGACACTTACATATTTATTATTTTCTATGTCGAACTATTGATATGTTGATTTTATATAAGTTTTAATCGGTTTTGTTGCATACTAAAAAAAAGTCTTCCACTTGAGTGTTATATAGGGGCCGACCTAGGTAGAACCCGGACAATCTCTCAAATTTAATCGGCGTATGTAAATTTGTTTTCAAAATTTGTGTATTTAATATAAGTGCAACCTTAAAAAAAGTTACAAAGTGCAACCTTTGATATTTTTTTTCGGGGTCCCCTGTAGTTTTATACTATACATAATTTGTTTTATGGAACTCTTCTTTTTCTTGCTTCGATCTCAATCCTAGCAAACATCAAAAACTTTAACTCATCATAAATATTAGATGTGATAGGTTGTTGGAAAATTAATGTCGAATCCATTGGAGAAATGTTGAGTCGTAGGGAATCTTTTGATCATTTATGTACAAAAACTGAAAATAATAATATTTAAATCTCGTTAAAGATACATGTAACCAAAATATTAACATGTTGTTGACACATAAAACATTTAACAATGTCAAATACATAATAACTTAAGTGAGATTTTTGTTGTAAATACAAATGGAACAGCTGATAACGTACGTACCCTTTAAAAACATAATAATATGCATCTTTGCTAGAACCCAATAAGATTACTAATTTTATGATAATATTTAAAATATAACTATCTTCTTAACAACACAAATTATATTTCTCAACAATGATGATATTTATGATAATATATTTCTCACAAATTATCTTTGCTAGAACCCAATAAGATTACTAATTTTATGATAATATTT